TCTAAAATCCATCAACATTATATACCACATCAACAAAAAGGACAAAAACCACATGATCGCCTCCATACATGCTGAAAAAGTATTCAACAAAATTCAACATCCATTCATGATGAAAACTCTCAACAAAATGGGTATAGAAGGCAAGTACCTCAATATAATAAAGGCTATATATGACAAACCCACAGCCAACATCATACTTAACAGCAAGAAGCTGAAAGCCTTTCTTTTAAGATCGAGAACAGGACAAGGATGCCCACTGTCCCCACTTTTATTCAACATAGTACTGGTGGTCCTAATCATGGCAATCAGACAACACAAAGAAATAAAAGGCATCCAAATTGGTAAAGAAGAAGTTAAACTGTCATTCTTTGCAGGTGACATTATATTGTATGCAAAAACTGTAAAGAATCCATTCCAAAACTACTAGAGCTAATAACTTAATTCAGCAAAGTAGCAAGATACAAAATTAATACACAGAAATCTGTGGCATTCCTATATACTAATGATGAACTAGCAGAAAGAGAAATCAGGAAAACAATTCCATTTATAATTGCCTCAAAAAAAGTAAAATAGCTAGGAATAAACCTAACCAAGGAGGTGAAACACCCATACCCTGAAAACTACAAGACACTCATGAGAGAAATGAAAGACAACACCAATAAATGGAAATACATCCTGTGCTCAAGGACAGGAAGAACTAATATTGTCAAAATGGCCATCCTGCCTAAAGCAATCTACAGATTCAATGCAATCTCTGTCAAAATTACCAACAGCATTCTTCAATGAACTAGAACAAATAGTTCTAAAATTCATATGGAACCACAGAAGACCCTGAAGAGCCAAAGCAACCTTGAGAAGGAAGAATAAAACTGGGGGAGATTACGCTCCCCAACTTCAAGCTCTACAACAAAGCCACAGTCATCAAAACAGTTTGGTACTGGCACAAGAACAGACCCATAGATCAATGGACAGAATAGAGAGCACAGACATTAACCCAAGCATATGTGGTCAGTTAATGTACAATAAGAGAGCCATGGACATACAACTGTTGTTGGCAAAACTGACCAGCTATATGTAAGAGAATGAAACTGGATTATTGTGTAATCCCATACACAAAAGTAAACTCGAAATGGATCAAAGATCTGAATGTAAGTCATGAAACCATGAAGCTCTTAGAAGAAAACATTTTTTCCTGAACACATCTCCTCGGGTAAGGGTAACAAAAGCAAAAATGAACACATGGGACTACACCATGCTAAAAAGTTCTATACAGCAAAGGACACCATCAGCTGAACAAAAAGTCATCCTGCAGTATGGGAGAATGTATTTGTAATCGACATATCCAACAAGGGGTTAACATCCAGAATATATAAAGAACTCAGATGCCTCAACACCCAAAAGGCAAATAACCCAATTAAAAAATGTGTGGAGGATCTGAACAGATAATTCTCTATAAAGAAGAAATTCCGAAGGCCAACAGGCACATGAAAAGATGCTCCACATTGCTAATTATCAGGGAAATGCAAATTAAAACCACAATGAGATATCACCTCACACCATTTAGGATGGCCAACATAGAAAAGACTAGGAACAACAAATCCTGGCAAGGATGCAGAGAAAGGGGAACCCTCCTACACTGCTGGTGGGAATGTAAAATAGTTCAACCATTGTGGAAAGCAATATGGAGGTTCCTAAAAAAACTAAAAGTATAAGACCATTTGACCCAGGAATTCCACTCCTAGGAATTTACCCAAAAAAAAACAAGTTTTCAGATTCAAAAAGACATATGCACCCCTATGTTTATTGCAGCACTATTTACAGTAGCCAAGATATGGAAGCAACCTAAGTGTCCATCAGTAGATGAATGGATAAAGAAGATGTGGTACGTATACAGCCATAAGAAAGAAACATATCCTGCCACTTGCAACAAAAGGGTTGGAGCTAGAGGGTATTATGCTCATTGCAATAAGCCAGGCAGAGAAAAAGACAAGTCCCAAATGATTTCCCTCATTTGTGGAGTATAACGACGAAGCAAAACTGAAGGAACAGAACAGCAGCAGACTCACAGACTCCAAGAAGGGACTGGTGGTTACCAAAGGGGAGGGGGGGGAGGGGGGGAGGGGGGAGAAGGGGATCGAGGGGTATTATGTTTAGTACACATGTTGTGGTGGGTCACAGGGAAGACAGTGTAGCATTAGGAAGGCAAATAGTGAATCTGTGGCATCATACTGCACTGATTGATAGTGACTTTAATGGGGTATGGGTGGGGACTTGATAATATGAGTGAATGTAGTAACCACATTGTTTTTCATGTGAAACCTTCATAAGAGTGTGTATCAATGATACCTTAATAAAATATTTGTGAGAGTGTAAATTATTACACTAAAAATTTTGTAGTAATCATTTCACAATATGTACATATACAAATTGTTATGTTGTATACCTTAAATTTTAATTAATGCAATGTCATAATAAACCTGGAAACTTATTTTATAAACAGTGAATTAATTGCATCAACTCCATTCATTTATAGACAATGATTAAGCATTTAGTCTGATAAGTAAAGATAACAATTTAGATAAGGGAGATTCTAACAATCTAGTGGAGGAGATGAACAATTCCAGGATTATATGATAAATGCAGTGATAGTGGTATACATAGTATACTATAAGTACTTTTATTCATTCAACATATACTATAGTGATTTACTAGGCCCCAGATAATATCAATAGGGAACCAAAGAGGCATGGCTATTGTTTTTAAAAGAGAAAAGGAAAAGACAGAGAGAGAAAAAGAGATTACGGTCAGAGGACTTAAATAAATTTATTGTGACTTACTGATTTTTTGTGTCATAATTGAGAAAAGCATGAGCTGCCATGGGAAGACAGAGGAGTTCCATCTAAATCAAATCAAACTGGCTTTTTTCCTCCTTGGCTGCCTAAGGGCGGACTGCCATTATGAACCACACAGTCACCAGCCAGACCAGGAAGTTCATCACCCACTCCTCCAGTGGGAACAAATGGTCACTGACATCCTTCACCTGGAAAAGCAGGCAATAGTTCCAAAGACAGAAATTTGTGGAGAAAAAAAAAACAAACAGCCAAAATGTACAAGACCACACCAAATGTTATCTTTGTACTTGAATTCGGAATACATTTTGGTGGTGGAAAGACAACTGGCTTCAGCATGGTTGCAGTTCCTTGGATTACACCAGAAAGAAAAAAAGACCCCAAACATAAACTTGCAAAACAGGGCAAACAGCCTCAAGAAAATAGTGAAAGGAACACGAGAGCAGAATGAAGTCAGGGAGGTAGCAAAGGCCAGTGCTGGTACTGGCAAAAAGTGAACTGGAGACTGAACAGCAGAAGGAATAAAGATTCTGTGGTGGCTTTATCTGCCATGATTGTGCAGATTTTCATGATAGAATCAATAAGCTGCAAAACCTTTTAAAATTTTAAATAAATAAAATCAAACTGGGGAGTCAGAAAGGCTTTCCAGCGGAGGTATTGAACTTTTGAAGAACCGGTAGAGCTGAGCTAGATGAAGGGGCAGCACACACACCAAGGCACAGGGACAAGAGTGATCAACAGACATACAGATTATTCGGAGTTGCTTGTTATGGCTAAAGGAAAGTGCTACACATGTTAACTGAAGAGAAATAAAGCTAAAAATGTAGGCAGGAGCCAGAACATCGTGTCTTTTATGCTAAATCCTGGCATCACTTCCTAAATAATAGTTCCCTTTCACATAAAAATAAGAATAATGTTTACTGAACTCTTACTATGTATCAGTCTCTGTTCTAAATACTTGACATGTAGTAAATCATGTAATCCTCACACTAATTCATCCAGTAGGTACTATTATTATGCCTTTCACTTACTATGTATCAGTCTCTGTTCTAAATGTTTTACACGTATTAACTCATGTAATCCTCACACTAATCCATGCGGTAGATACTATTATTACTCCTTTTCTTACATAAGGGGAAACAGATATGCAGGAAGTTTAAATAATTTGTCCCTAATCTCACAGCTATGTTGAAACTTGGACAGTCTGATTCCAGGGGCCAAACTATTAACAACTTTGCCTCTCGTTCATAGGTGATACTTCAAGTATTTAGAGGCTGCAGATTCCATACACTATTTCTTTCTATTTATTCTTACTCCAGAATCATTCAACATATACTGTAGTGATTACTAGGCCCAGATATTCAATAAGAAGCCAGTCATAGCTCTTTCTTATGTTTTCATATCTGAAGGTAATCTATGCCTTCACTTTTTTCTTTTTCAGGTTTTTGTGTGTGAGAGTACTGCCTGTTGATTCTTCAAATGAGCTTTCACAATAATTTTTGCTAAACTAAAATTTGAGATTAGAGGATTTGAGTTAAAAGTGAGTTAAATTTATAAATTAAATTGGAACATATTCAATGTTTCTATCCATGAAGTGCTGTATTTTTCTTTATCTTGTTTCAAAATTATCAAGACACTTTTGCAATTTTCTTAAAATAGGTACCATTTAAAAAGATTATTCTTAAATGTGTTATAATTGTTGTGGGAATGTATGTTTTCAAATCCTTTATTATCGGCGTATATGGATGCTATTTATGTGTATATGAGGCTGTTTTTCCTGAAATGTGAAAAAATAAAATTACCACCGAAAAATTATAAAAATTGAAAAGGCATATACTTTATTCAATATTGTCTAAAATGTTCAGAAAAGATTTGGGTCAGTAAGAAAGGTTACAAAGAGAATATGGCATTTTTATTCATTGTTTATACCTGTTTTAGTTACACATTCAAACTATTGCCACTGATGCATTTTCATCTAATTTTTCCTATAATAAGAGAGAAGGAAACGTGGTGATGAGTGTAACAGAGCCACCTCCCTCAAATTACGTTGCTCTTCATGACCCATCCTAAGTCTCACAGTTCAAGCTAATCATTGCCAGAGCTTTACAATCACAAGCTTTTACTGAAGCGTTGATAACAGTCGGGCAGTCAGGCTGTGCGGCAGGATCTCCAGGGAATGAATGGATTTTCTTCAGCACCGATGAAAGAAACACACGCTATAGGAAAACAATGTCCAACGGGGGACTGCAAAGATCTGTCATCCTGTCAGCATTTTTTCTCCTACGAGCCGTTACTGGATTCTCTGGAGATGGAAGAACTATATGGTCTAAAAATCCTCATTTTAGTCCGGTAAATGAAAGTCAGCTGTTTCTCTATGACACTTTTCCTAAAAACTTTTTCTGGGGCGTTGGGACTGGAGCATTTCAAGTGGAAGGGAATTGGAAGACAGATGGAAAAGGACCCTCTATATGGGATCATTTCATCCATACACACCTTAAAAATGTCAACAGCACTAATAGTTCCACTGACAGTTACATTTTTCTGGAAAAAGACTTATCGGCCCTGGATTTCATAGGAGTTTCTTTTTATCAATTTTCAATTTCCTGGCCAAGGCTTTTCCCTGATGGAATAGCAGCAGTTGCCAATGCAAAAGGCCTCCGGTACTACAATACTCTCCTCGACGCTCTAGTACTTCGGAACATTGAACCTGTAGTTACTTTATACCACTGGGATTTGCCTTTGGCACTACAAGAAAAATATGGGGGGTGGACAAATGAAACCATTATAGATCTCTTCAGTGACTATGCCACATACTGTTTCCAGACGTTTGGGGACCGTGTCAAATATTGGATTACAATTCACAATCCATATCTAGTTGCTTGGCATGGGTATGGGACAGGTTTGCATGCCCCTGGAGAGAAGGGAAATTTAGCAGCTGTCTACACTGTGGGACACAACCTAATCAAGGTACTGTACAGCTGGCTTCATATTATAGCTTCAGAATATAGGGACCAGGAGTTAAAAAGAAACACTAAGAAATATGTCTACCATTTAAATAATTCTTTCTATTGATATCAGCTCAACTAATTTTAGTCTAACAAGTTCTGTCCTCAAACTTTGTATTTAAAACAGTGTATTTTCTATTTATCTAAGCTGTTATTAATGTGTTAATACAATTATTTTCCCTAAATGTTGCATTTTTAATTATTTATTTATTTCTAAATCCACAATTATACATTAGAGCATGAGAATATGAATTTACATTCACTGTGTGGAAAACAAATACCTTAAAATTTAATTGTTGAAGCCTTTTTCTGACAACATGCAGGAATTACGTTAAGGCATGACCACTTCAAATATGTATTTGCTGCTAGTATTGTTATTCTTAGTGATATTTAGCAGTAGTAAGCTAAATAGATGTTAGCTAACTGATGCATATTAAATACAGGAATTGAAACAATTGTTCTTCATAGTTGGTTTTATTTGTGTTACATGGCAGTAAAGATGAGATTAATTGTTCTGGGAGTTAAAATTAATCTCATATAAAAACTGGTAAGAATAGGCTCTATTAAGTGTTCGAAAACAATGTATTTCAAAAGCTTGAGTTTATGTTGGGAAGTGTTAAAATTATTAAAACAATAGTGAAAATGCAAGCAAAATAATAGCTAATAGTTAATGAGTGCTTATTGTGTACCAGACTATTCAGCATTTTTCATGCTTTATCACAATTAATCCTCATGATACCTTATGAACTAAGTCCTATTATTGGCTGCATTTTAAAGATGAGGAAACTGAAGTTTAGTGAGATTCAATAACTTGCCCAAGGTTACAGAGCAAAATGCACTTGTGGTGAACATGGATTTATAAATGACAGCATAATTAAACACTAACTGACTTCATTAAGCATGTTTTTAAAAGGAAATCTTTTGAGAATTTTCAAGAGATTTTGCCTCACATTGAGGCTAATATCTAGAATCAGGTTTAACTTTTTCAGTCAAATAGTTTACTTGGGAAAAATAAATTACTCTAGACACCTGTTACATTTTGAAAATGAAAAAAAATGTTATTAGTAGGGTTACCTAATGTGTTTGGAGAAGTAATTTGCTATAGAAATAGGAAAAAATGTACAGGAATGTAAAATTACTCCATGTGTAAGTTTGCACATACAAAACTATCAGCCAACTCTTCTCTCTTTTTTTGAGTTTTCTGGATTATATATGTGCATTGTACTATGATTCATTCACACCTGCCTTTGCAGGAAACAGATGATACCATTATGATGTCAAGGTCATTTACATATCTTTGAATAGAGTTGTGTATCGGACACATTATTAATGTAAGGACATATTGTGATTTGGCAAATAAGACCTTATAGGGAGAAAACTTATACTTATTACCTCTGAAGATTATGCCTATATAAGTTAGAAAAACATTCCTTTTATCTAGTTCTTTTAATAAAACAATACTTGCTCCTGGTATCAGATTGTACCAAAGGATATAAAAGTGAGATAGTCGAATTCCTCTCTCTCTACCTGACAATCCCAACCTCAAGAAAACTAACGCTGATAGTGTCTTATATAGTCTTTTTAAAGTTTTCTTTGCAAATACATGCATATAAATGTTTAATATTTTTATAAAGAAAAGTATTCTAAATTGTTGAAAAGTCTTCGGTTACCTGGAAAAATGTTAACAGAATTCTGATAAAAAAATGTTACAGTAGTTAAAGCCTTAAAAACTGGCTGACTGAGAAAAACACACAGGAGAAAGTTGTAATTACAAATAGATATTGCTTCCATACTTAGCATATAAAATGCTGTATATTTTCAGATATTTTTCAGTTGCCTCTAACTGGAGATAAACTCTGCCTTTAACACAAAATTAACACTCTCTAATAGTGAGGTAAATTTTATTGTTGTAAATTGAGGGATTCCATTTTTTATGATTGTGTTTTCCAAATAATTTCTTCCATCTCTTTAAAATTTCTCAATCCCTAACCTAAATAAGTAGTGTAAGGGGTCCCTTGAAAGCAGTTAGAAAGTGAAATATGCTGCATAACCCAGTGACTTTTGGCACCACAGAGAAATCTTGCAATGGTTTGGTAGCCTGAAGTGAACTTGGTTTTCCCACTCATCCCCTCTCTGTCCTTCCTTTAACATAGAAAAGATTAATCTGATATTTTATGTTACAGTCAAGTAGTTATTCCTTATTGTGCTATCTTGTGACTCAGAAGCATTCTTTAAGATTAGTTTTTACTCCAAGTTAACCCATTTTGTTCAGTTTAAAAAGCTTAATACAAAACTAAATTCATGGGTGCTAGACCCCAATCCTCAGATATTGAAACGATTTCATAGTGACTATTGGAGTCTTTTAGTTCCAGGATGGTCTTGAAAACTCCACCTCATTCTGAAATGTTCTGGTTTGGAGGAAACCTGAATAGTCTAGCCAATCCTGAGACTGATCTGGAATTTAGATTCCACTTCATTGCAGACCTGGTGATAACCTTAAAGTGAGTCTAAGCCTTGGGTAAAATTTTGCCATAATCACACCTACTAATAGATGCTCCACTCTGAGTTTTAAACAATATTTGAAATAGAGAGAGGGTACATTTTTTGGCCTGACCATCTCTAAACACAGTTATCAGAGCTTTAAATATTACCTCTAATTTTTCCAACAACCTTGCCAAGTACCTATTATTATCCCCAATTCACAAAGAGGTATTTCTAACAGGCATCACGTCACTCCCCTCCATAAAATTCATTAGTGGCTCCTCAAAGCTTTTGGGATAAAGTCCCAATATTTCATCAAGATCTTTAAGACACAAGCCCTGACCTCCATCCCAGCCTCCTTCCTGACCATTCTCCCACCCCTGTCATGAAGTCAACCCCTTAGCACAACCCATACTCCACCATATGCACTACCAGGAGTATCTTGATTTTATCTTCTATTCCTCTTCACTCAGCCTCTACTAGTGCTCTGTGCAGCTAGAATACACTTCTTCCTCCCTGTTTTACCCATCTAATGTCCTTCAAGACTTAATTTAGGCAGTCACCACCTCCAAGTTAATCTTGACTCTTTAGGGTTAGTGCTCCTCCTGGGGGCTCCTGTAATCAGATGTGCTGGCTTCTACCACAGCACTCACACCACATAGTGACTCTTCTGCGTACCCAACTAGCCTGAGAGTTCCTTGAAAGGATAGACTGTTTTTTAACTTGCTTTTAGTCTTCCAGCACCTGCCACAGATTATTAAGTACTTGCTAGGTATAAATGTTGAATGAATGGCTTAGGATGTCTAGCTTAACCTTGTAACCAAAGAACCAATCTCAACTTCAAAATTCATATTTCATTACATTATTTCTAATTCTTGAAATATTGCCTATATTAATCCAGTGGTGTATTAGTCAGGACTCTTTTGATTACAAGTGACAGAAACCTAATTCAAGGTGCCTAAAGCAAAATCAAGCAACTTCCTGGCTTGACAACCAAATCCCAGGGATAAATGGACCCAGTACCAAGACACTCTCAGAAACCCTTTTTCTCAGTCTCTCATGCCCATTTCTTCTTCTGGGTTGACATCATTCTCTTAGAGAAAAGATTTCTCTCTCCTAATCCCAGCCTCCTTCCTGACCATTCTCCCACCCCTGTCATGAAGTCAACCCCTTAGCACAACCCATACTCCACCATATGCACTACCAGGAGTATCTTGATTTTATCTTACTATTCCTCTTCACTCAGCCTCTACTAGTGCTCTGTGCAGCTAGAATACACTTCTTCCTCCCTGTTTTACCCATCTAATGTCCTTCAAGACTTAATTTAGGCAGTCACCACCTCCAAGTTAATCTTGACTCTTTAGGGTTAGTGCTCCTCCTGGGGGCTCCTGTAATCAGATGTGCTGGCTTCTACCACAGCACTCACACCACATAGTGACTCTTCTGCGTACCCAACTAGCCTGAGAGTTCCTTGAAAGGATAGACTGTTTTTTAACTTGCTTTTAGTCTTCCAGCACCTGCCACAGATTATTAAGTACTTGCTAGGTATAAATGTTGAATGAATGGCTTAGGATGTCTAGCTTAACCTTGTAACCAAAGAACCAATCTCAACTTCAAAATTCATATTTCATTACATTATTTCTAATTCTTGAAATATTGCCTATATTAATCCAGTGGTGTATTAGTCAGGACTCTTTTGATTACAAGTGACAGAAACCTAATTCAAGGTGCCTAAAGCAAAATCAAGCAACTTCCTGGCTTGACAACCAAATCCCAGGGATAAATGGACCCAGTACCAAGACACTCTCAGAAACCCTTTTTCTCAGTCTCTCATGCCCATTTCTTCTTCTGGGTTGACATCATTCTCTTAGAGAAAAGATTTCTCTCTCCTAAGTTCAGTTTTTAAAATCCCAGAGACAGATTCTAGCCTGTTTGGCTCTCATACATCAAGTGTCACATTAGCAAAGGCAGTAATGGTGCCTGTTTTAGTTTTGTTTTCAAAACAATAAATATGCAAAATAATTTAAATTTGTAGACACACACACCCCTGCCACCACCCCAAGAAATGGAACATTTGAGAGTATCTGAGTAAACATGCACAAAGGTTGGGGAAGATGAGTTTGCTCATAAAATGGTAACTTTTTCAGTTTATTAGTCCATTAAATACTGCCAACTTCCATGATAGTTTTGACCACTACATGGCTTGCAATTATTATCTTTCATAGACATGTACTGTTTACATAGTATCAGGATTTCTCAATCTCAGCACTATTGACATTTGGGGCCAAAAATTCTTTGTTGTAATGGGCTGCCCTGTGCCATTACAGGCTATTGAGCAGCATCCCTGGCCTTTACCAGCTAGATGACAGTAGCACCCTTGCCCCCAGGATTGTGACCACCAAAATTGTCTCCAGATATTACCAAATGTCCCTGGGTTGAGGGACAAATTCTTCTGCCACCCCTCCCTTGAAAACCACTGAC